TGATGGCTCTTAAAAAAGGATAGGATGTGTAGCAAACAAAAGTTAGGAACACCACATTACAAATAAAGGATCCTTAAATATGACATGCTGAGTTTCTGGGGACTTAGGACAGTGAAGGAATAGAGTGACATTTACAGCTAAGCTGCCCGAAGAGGTTGGCCGACATAGCCCCGTCTTCCCTGGTCACTTGCAGGTTGTTTGATCACAGGGCCCCAGAGGCAGTGACGTCCACCGTTCGATCCAGCAAGAAATGAGCATTATAGAAATCCGTTTCCTCTGGATCAGCTATAATGACATGTAGTGGCAGCTCACCACTGCATAAATTTCATCCTGATAAAAGTTAGTCTTACATGGCTAGCAGCTCTAATTTTATCATTAGAAACCTTCTGCCACAATAGTGCTGTGAAGTAAAATAGGTAAGATAAAATAACTGTATGTGGGTGTCAAAAAAGCTTAAAAAATAAAAAGAGAGGAAAGGAGAAGCACTGTTGGAGATAAAAGGATAAGGGACCCAGAGGAAGAAGGGAAGCTTTTTGTACCTTCACCATAAAATTTTCTGAGGTACAAACTAGTGTAAACTAACTAGTGTAAATCAGCTCATGCAGTTTCCAGGGAAGAAGAATTTGTAATATTTTTATGTCCTACAATAAATAAACACCCTGTGGAACTAGAAGTCCCAACATAGAAATACTATTATTAGAATGCATTAACTTCTTTGCCACATTAATAACATTTTGTGTTTTACAGACATGATGAAAACAAACTCGTAGATGTAAGAAAAGTGCATTCAAAACTGAACATTATCAAAAGAAAGGGAAATGCAGAGCATCCCTGTTCTGGTGCGCTTTTTTTCTTGGAGAGTACAGGAAAAAATAATTCAGGGATTTATAAAATTGAATTTGTAAGGATGCTGAAGCAGCTCTAGTCACAGCACATTGTGCTATAACTGGAATAGACAGAGGCTGCCCATAGCATTTATCTGTAAACAATTCTAATGTGATTCCACAGAGAAAACCTGCACTCATTTTATGTGGGACTCTATACTTGCCATCATGTCCTAATGATTTAATAATTACTTTTCAAAATCTCAAACATAAGCTCTTAAATAGGAGGCTATTTGTAAGTACCTGAATAATTCAGCATGTATTGTACCTTACCTACACACAAACTTTTCTTGTAAGCTAAAAAATCCTTTTTCATGACAAGAATAATGTAGTAATCGAGTTTTATCTTGTACTGTCCAGTTGTTCTAATATAATCTCCAAAATAGTTTAAAGTTGTGTTAAAGTCGATATATTTTTGGTGTGAGCTGTCATTCAAGAATTTGTCAAATTCATTTTGGTCTCTTGGGGGTGACATTACATCCTTATTTGTGATAACATAAAACAGCATTTAACTCTAATGGCATTATTTCGATCAATAATGCTTATGTTCCCAGGCCTGCAAAGCGCTCGTAAAAGTTATAGAAGAAGTTCTTTTAGAATTCATTTTTATAGTTTATTTGCTTTAGTTAACTAAGGCTGGTTCATTTGTTTGGAGCCGTTTTACCTCTTTCAGTGGTACTGCCTGAAGTTATTAATTAGGTTTCCTACTTCAGTGTTAGACTTTTCAGGTCACTGTGATGGGTCGTTGAAAGAAGCCCATTAAGATGAATGATGTGTGTTGTAATTTCATTAGTGTCATCAATAATGTATTGCACTTTTCTGTTTAGGAGTCTCTTCTTGTTTTGTGTGGGTCAGGCTGACTGTGTGAAATATATTTATAAGATCAAAATAGTTAAAGATGAAGGTAGATACTTACGCAATTAGGCCAGAGGCTGGAATTGTTGTTTTAGAGGTGTAGGCTACGAAACCAATTTGTGTTAAGGAATGTTTAAGTAATTGAATTTCACAGTACAAATTAAAGTCTCTTGGTATCATTATGCGTGTTATGGTCACATAGTGGTATCTTGTGCCAAGGAAATGGCTGGGGTTTATTTTTCAGTCCCTGTGTAATCTTTAATGAAAACACTTTTCTGACTTGTAAAGTCTTGGAAGTAATAAACTCGACTAGCCATTTTTTTCATTTGATGAAGCTTGGACAGAAATAAGAAGTAAAACTGTATAAATTGACTCTCATGAACATGCATAAAGAGAGAAATCATTTTATGCAACAAAGAGGTGGCATGGCTTGCCAAGCAAAGATAAGTAATTGGAAAATATAAGACCCTGGTGAGAATTTCTAGCAGAAAAGCTGAAAAAACAGGTGCTGTATAATGTTACTACTTATTATTTGCATACATAAAAATAAAAAATAGGTTCTGTCATACTATGCAATCAGCTATGCCGAAGTCATATTACTATTGCAAAAGTTTAGATATTCTTTTAAATTATGAAAGCAGCCTGCTTCTCTCTTTCATTCATCAAACAACTAAGCCTTTCGCATGAGACACTGATTTGTACAGTTAGGATGCGCTAGGAGTATTTGTCTTTTACAGTGGATCACCTGCCTGTGGATTCACTATGGAATCACCTGTGATTCCAAAATCACAGCAGTAGAGTTAAACTGTATTAAGGTCCTTGTATGTCAAGGTAAAGCATCTTTGTAGCCCGCGTGCCATGTTTAGAGCACGTTTGAAGATGGGATAGAAGATCTGTTCCTATTCACCACAAACATTTTCTCAGCAGTCCCCAGATGTTCCAGTCTTTAGTCCCCTCTAAAGAGGTCATCCTCTCTTTAGAGTCTGATTTCTAGCAGTCTAAGTTAGTGTTGCTCTGCTGATGGTTATTGTCTTACGACATTTTAATTAGTTGACATTCCCCCCAATAAAGGAATAGAGGGATCCTAATGTAGATGATGATGCCAGTGTTGTAGGCATTTGGAGCAGAATTCTAGCTCAGTCAAACTCTCCCAGCCACCAGCAACCAGGTAGGACTGTCACATGCCTCCTGAGAGTAGAAAGTAATGTGATTATCTCTAGCACGGCCCCTGCTGTTCAAGGGCTTTGAGGGGTTGTGAACAGGCTTCTGTCTCCCTGTGAACTATGGGAACTATAGAGGAGAGTTCTTCAAAAGCCTGGTTCTGCTCGCACTGATCTCGGCAGGAGTCCCTGAATTGATTTCAGAGGGAGCAAAATCAATTCCTGCTTTGAAAACTGCAGTATTTCCCGTAGCACAGCCTATCCTTAAAAACCAACCAACCAACCAACCAACGAAGAATTGATCTGGTTCTCAACATACACAGTTTTCATTTACTGTATCACAGAGACGCTTTAGGAATAGTTCATAATATAGCTTTAGTCACCTTTGAGTGTCAGCTGCATCACAGTCTCAAGGAACATAGTCTGAAGCATCAGCTCAGAAGTGAGGACGCGGGCAGTTGTCCTCCTCTGGCTGCTGCAGTGCAAGCTGCAGAAGTTATTGCCACATCTGCTTGTTACTGTCCTCTTGACGGAGCTGAGCTGTTCCTGCAAGTGCTCCTAACCTTGTTCAGTCAAATGATCTAGGTCAGTGATGACCTACTATTTAAACTATGTAAGCTATCCTTCTACTGCAGTGTTGGATTCAAACTGTTTCCCTCCTCTGTTTAAAACCACTATGTATTGCATTGCAGAACACTTGCAATGGTTAAATGTATTGCTGTCAGGGGATAAAAAGCTTACCATTCCTATTGCACATTGCTGGGTTTGGATGTATCCCCAATATAGGAAGGTAAAAACATAAAGACTGAAAAATTGTGTTATGAGGATAGGAGTTATTTCATGTCTTTGAAAAATGTTGCCCATCATTCAAAGCATTTTTTCAAACTGGAAAACACGGCAGAAGATTGTAGATGTTCTGTGGTGTTGTTTATTGGGCTACTTTGTTACCATTCCCCCTTGTAGACTGGCAATTAGATGACTCCTATAACACTAAGATACGCTTTTGTGGTCACCTGTCTTGCAGGTACTTGGTAGTTTTATTACTAATTTGGAGTTGCCATTGGGCCTGTTCTGTCGTGCAGTTAGGTTACTAATGGAATATCTAAGTTGTCCTGCTTTCTCGCTGGTTTCATTCTGTTAAACAACTTCTCCCCTGCCCTGAACACCTACCTTGTATTTAAGGGTAAGGTCCTGGACCAAATCATGTGTAGCTTTCCTGTTTCAAATTTCACTCACTCCTGTTTACAATCAAAGGAGCTCCTGGGTGGAGATTTATGATATTTACATGCTCTTCTAATTAGGATAATGATTACACCTGTTTTTAGGTAACATTTATAGCCTGCTTCAAAGAGTCTGATTGAAATCATTTGCTAGCTTTGAATTCTGAGCCTTCAGCACCTCACGCAGATAACATTTCCAAGGGATCAGACATTACCTTTGCGTGTGTTTTTATATGAGCCATTAAAAAGTCTTGCAAATATTATAGGAAAACACAGATTTTGTTTCATAAGGGTTTAGCTGTACGTTCCAGTTATTTCCTTCCTCAAGTATGTCACATTAAGGATGGGTTGCTCTTGTGCTAATGCCACAAAGGATTATTGATGAAATAAAGGCTCTGCTGAAGGCAATGAGAGTTTTACCATTGACTTCAATGCAGCTAGAATTTCACCTCTGAAGTGTGAAATAAATAACAGGAGCAGATAGGAAAAAAATATTCTGTGCCTAGCGTCCACGGTAATAACCAAACTTTTTTTAGAGGGTAATAAATGGAATCCGGCTGAGACATGAAATACTTCATGAGGGGTGTGATAGGTCTAGGCTCATGATTTTGAATAAAAACTTGAATGGTCAAAGAGGATTGTCAGATTTCTTTGACAGATTTTGTGAATGTTTCAATGTATGTATGCATAGATCAATGAACAGATGCAGTTTACAAAGCCATAATAAATATTCAGTTGTCTTTCAGTTTGCCATGGGTCAGCTTTACTGTGCGTATTACGTATCATCTGTAAAGTGTGGCTGATACTTGCAGGGTTTCTTGATGATTTCTGATGAATTGTTTTGAGTAAAAAGTTGACCGTTCTCCATTGTTCTTTTTTAGAAATATTCTTTACAGACTAGATGAAAGGACAAGCCAGTTTTCAGTACTGCAAAAGGCACTGGAGCACTGCAAACTACATCAGTCAAATGAGACCATTCAAGCAGCCTTGTCAGAGGTGCTGAACAGCATCAATTCAGCTCAGGTTTACTTCAAAGCAGGACTTGATGTGTTTTGAGACTACCTTAGCTGGAAAGAAATGAGAGGATTCTCTGCATTCTAAGACGTTTGTTTACAACTCGCTAAACAAAAGTTCGACTTGGACCAGAATTTCTCTGAGGATGAAACCTTTCTCAACTTTTCTTTCAGTTGGCTCTTACAGGTACTGCAATGTGTGTTTTTATAAATATGAAACAGTCTTTTGCACTGTTCGCAGTATATCTCAAATGTCTGTTTCTGAATATATAAAACATAATGAGAGGGAATAACACTTAAGATATGATTTTTAGAAGGACATCTGCTGTATTTTTATATGTAAAATATATTTTTATGACTAAGAGCTCAATCTTGCAACGTACTGAGCATGTCATGCAATATGCTGAAGACCTGGTTCTGAGTCACCCCAGATGTATACCCAGGTGAGCTTTCCATGCCTACTCTGTCAGAAAAATGTGACTTAAGTATACTCTTGTGTTTCTTAACTTCCTCAGCAAACTTATCTTCTTCCTTACTCCTTTCAGAGTAAGTAGTTGAAGGATGTGGCGTTTCCTTGGGTATCGAGCGCCAGAGTTAATCAGGAAATGCACAAAACACCCTTACCAGTGCAATCCAACATCTTTACTCCTGTGGAACAATAAATACCTCAATTTTGAGAATACAGATAACTTTGATTATCCCATTTCTGTATGAAAAAGAGTTTTTTCTCTATTTATTCTTGGAGAGAAAATTTTTGTGATGATTTCAAATGATTTGAAAAGTTTGAAGCAGTAGGTACACTTGTACAAAAATGCTTTGATTCTTTATGTTAAATAAAAGAATTGCCCAGTCTTTTAAGGCTACAGGCCTTATAAGCTTATACATTACCAAAACAGCCCACTTCAAGGTCTCCCTAAATTTCCAGAGAGCAGTAAATGAAAACAAGATCTCAAAGTTCTGGGAACATTTCTGGGATTCCACCACTTGGCCACACCACCCACTGCTCCAGGCTGGATCATTCCATCAGTAGTGCCCGGCATATAGAAGCTGGATTGTTGTCAAAAAAGCACAAGGAAAATATATATTCATTCCCTACTGCAGAACCAGGAATTCACCTCTGAAGGCACAAGCTGATGAAGCATATTGCAAGGCTAAAACTCAAATCTGTTTTGCATTGGTGGAAGCCCTGTACAAAGGCTGTAATCACACCGTTACCTTGTTGGCCTGAAGTAATCTGTGAATGAAAGGATGAGGAGGTTCAGTGTCCTAACCTCTAAGGGGATAATATACACACTTGAGAACTGCAGGTCTCAATAATATAAACAGTTGAAACTGTTAAGCCCTATTGGGTTTAGAGTTTTACAATCTCAGATATCTGAGTCTGGCGTTAGAGCTTAAAAAATTAATTTTATATAGATACTTAGAATTGAAATATAATTTATTTGATGGAAACGTTAAATGTATTGTTACCCAGTTTGCCACGGAAACATTACAGAAACATTTCAGGTTGCAATCAAAATGGAAAAAGTATCTGTATTAACGTAAAAAAATTGCCTTCTGGAAAATTTCAAGGTGCGCAATTTGGTGAAAGACTTGTTAAAGTGCGTGTTCACATAGCCAGAAATGAGAGTTGTTTACAGATCTGGGTTTCTATTTCCAAAAGTCCTTGGCAAATGGGCCTCTATCAGCAATGACCCGAGACTGGGTACATACAGCCACGTTGTTGCTTCGTTTCTTTGCAAGTTGTCATAACATGGGCAAAAGCATCCTGAGTCTGACCAGAGGCGGGACTATGCAGTTGTACAGCTACAACTGAAGTGGGAGTGTTCAACATCAGTCAGCATGACTGCATGAACCCAGGTATAATTATCTCCTGTCTTTACTTGGCATCTGATAAGCAAGAGTATATGATTATTCTTTTGCTAATGTGGTACCAATTCTGTTTACTGCAGAGAGAATTTGACTTCTGGAGAGTAACATTTTTTCTGATACTACAATGTTTGTTCATCCCCTCGTTTCCATAGTTTTTATTATTGTAATACTTAAATGGTTGGAATAGCCATGTTCGAGACGTATGTTTATTTTGTGGTAGTATTTGGGGATGTACTGTGCAAGACTACATTTGAATTGTATTTTCTAATAGGGACCACTCTTCTAACAGTTTGTGTAGTAACATATTTTCTTTATAGTGCTGACTCACTGTGGAGCCAGCATCTATGGTCTTAAATGATATAGGGTCAGGTGCCATTAAGAGACTGAAAATAGAGATTAACGCGTCCTTTAACTCTACCAGGTGAATTTAATAACTGCTTCCTCAGTCTTAGTGTACATGTTCCACCAAAACCACCTCTGATGTAACCAAAGTGTGCTCATACAAAATCAGCGAAATCTGCTGGGAAGAGTATCCCTCATGTATGATTTCTCAACCATGTACTTCCTCACTGAAACATTTATCTTGTTTTCTCACTAATGTCCTCCTGTAGCCACTTTTAAAATAGCAGACTTCAGAGTACTCCACCACAAAAAGCACTGCTACTATAAATGCCTGTCTATTCTAGAGATAATCATATATTCTTGTTGGTGAGATGAATCAGACGAGCTATTTAGGGACTTAAATGCATTGATTTCAATGTCATCTCACACTTCTAGATCTCTAGGCTTTTATTTCAAATGTTCAGATCTTACATATAAGTGAGTGCTCAGTGATAATATTTGTACCATTATAGCTTCGGAAAAAGCACTTTTGAGCCATATCCTTCCATTGATTTTTAAATCCTACCTATTGACTTCAAAGAATTTATAGCAAGTTAAGGTCCTAAATACCTGGTGTGTTTCTAACATAGACTTTTTGCCCAGTCAGCTGTGGAACATCAGCTAAAAGAAGGTGTTAGTAAATCACAGGAGCTTACACAGATTGAATACATTCCTATATTGTGTTGAAATAAATGGAGCGCCCTTAAAGGCAGAAGTATGTTTGCAAATTGCCTGAATGATACTAAAAACTTGTTACCTTTTCAGAAACATCAACTGCCAGAGACAGTATAACAAATGCATTGATTGCTAAGTAATCAGTCGTGCTTGCAGTGACCAGAAAATCCCTGCAGCTTGCAATATTTGTATGTTGAGACAGTTGATAATAAAAAGCTAATAAGATTTTATTAGTGCATATTTTAAAGAGTCCATAAAGAAGCTAAAGTACAATCAACTCAGATGAATAATAAGTACATGGGAGCTGGATTTTTAGTACTAACCTTAAAAAAGGTAGTGAATTGCTTTTATCATCCAAGAAAAACAAGACTATTTTGATATACAGTATCTGTACGAATATGCAAACACACAAATACAGAAATGCTTTATCTTGAAAACATTGTACAAACACTCATTTACTTGCAGTGATATGATACATCTACATAAACATAGATGTAAATAACAACTACATGGGAAAATTAGCAAGCACTTTGCACTGCTTCACTTACTTTTTAGGAAAGTATTTCAGTCTAGAGGTATAAAAGAAGGCACTTCAGCTGACCTCGGTTCTTGCAGCAGTAGGTGGGGAAAGGTTAAATCTCTCAGGTGTCAGAGAAGGGACCTCTGGAGGTGATCTAGTCCAACCTCCCTGCTCAGGCAGGGTCACCTAGAGCCAGTTGCCCAGGAGGGACTATGTCTGGATTACTTTTGAATATCTTCCAAGGATGGAGATTCCACAACCTCTCTGTACCGGTGCTTGGTCACCCTCAGAGAGAAAAAGTGTTTCCTTCTTCTGTAGATAATAGTTTTCTCCAAATCTCTCCCTATATTTCTTAGTTGTTAAATTATTGTAATTGGTTTAATTGCAAACATTTGAAAAATAACCATAATTTTATTCAGTGAAAACTCTTGGCCAAGGTCTCTAGGATTTCACAGTTAATATGTTGGAAAGTTTGTATAAGAAGATTTGCCCTTCAAGCCATGGGTTTATTTTTAAGTTGTAGAGACTAATGTCTTTATCTTTTGAGGTCTTTTTGTACGGTCCCAGGTTCCCAGTCACAGGATTTCTATCTATGTTAAGAGAGTGATTGAGAACAAAAGATGCATTAGAAAATGCACGGAGGAGTAATACCCATCAGTGCGTGCGTAGCTGTGTGCTATGAATGTATCTACTTTAACCAAACTTTGGGAGCCCAGTGCAATTCTATGGCTTGTGTGGTGCAGAAAGTCAGGCAAGATAATTGTATGGGTCATTCTGGCTTTAAAAGCTATTAAATGCTATAAATATAGTTATGTCTGGGCCTGTATTCTCAAGGGAGCAGTTAAGAGTTTCCTCAAAAGCCTTGTGTTGCAAGCTGTTATCTGTGTTACTCAGAAACGGGTACCTCTGACATACATTACGGTTGCTATCTCAGGAAACAAGCATAGTGTGGAAGATGTTCTTTCCCTTTAGCACTCTATAACATTTTAGCAGTATTCTGCCAGTCACAGAAAGATGAGTGATAGGAAACATATCTCATTTTAAGATGCCTGGGACCTGAATTTTGAAAACAGTTAGCCTTACACAGCACTACAATAGTTGAAAACATAGTAAGGTGTTGTCTGTTGGAGCTCTTGAGTCTACAAAACTCGGGATAGAGACGCCAGTATGGCAAGTAAATGTCTCAAAAATATAGAGTACACAATTAGTTTCTATCTATTAAAGGTTATATTCATGGTAAAAAGTTACTGGCCTACCAACGCAGGGGTAGGGTTTCATCATCCCACATAGTTTTTGGCGGCTTTAACCATCAGACTGTCGTTTCTCCCTCTGCCGCCACCTTCTCCAACCCCCTGCATTCCCTGCATTCAACTTCTCTCACATCCTCATGCCATGTGATGACTTGCCTCATTCTTCATCACCTTTTTCTTGGTCATTCCCACTAGTTTTCTGTCTCTGTTCTGGTTTCTTATCACTTCTTAGTCATCCCATTGACTTACCAACTATCACTTCTTAGTCTCCCCTTTAATTCACCAACCACCAAGTTAATCCCCTCTAATTTAGTTTTCTCGCTCTGAACTCAGTCAGCTTTTGTTCCCCATCCGGTTCCAGTCTCCTTAG